GGTTCCTGAGAGGGGCTCTTGTTCCCTGTCATCCCTTCAGCCGTCCAGCTCGGAGAAGGAGGTGGAGCGGGACGTGTTCTTGTTCCGAGCCTACATCGCCCAGGTGAGGCTGTGGCGCGGGACCCGAGGGGGGGCTGGAGCTGGGGGGAGCTGAGCCTGAGGCCTGGGAGCATGGCCTTCGGCGGTTTGGATGTACGGTAGGAATTTGCCATTCCTGGGGTTTTAAACTGAGGTTTTAGAAGCAGTTCATTCCTGAGTCCTGAAAAACTGGTGAGTCACAGATTTTTCTTTATTGCCTTCAACAGAGGAAATACGGCGTTGTCCTGGATGAAATCAAAGCCAGCGCTGGTCCTGAGCTCCAGGCAGTGAGAATGTTTGCACAATATCTGTCAAATGAGAGTCAGAGGTGAGCCTGATAAGAAGTTGGAACTCAAACCCTGACTGTCAAGGAGCGTGTTTCCACGTGGAAAGTTTCATGTAGAAGCATTGTCTTTGTTTTGATTTTTCTGTGATTTTTTTTCAGTGAATCTCAAAAAGGCAGAATTGGGGGGTGGGTGTCTTTTTGTCTTGCTTAGTAATGAAACACTCCCAAATTCTCACCCTTGCTCTTCACAGGGATGCGATTGTTGCTGATTTGGACAAGAAAATGGCAAAAAGTGTTGATATAGCCAATACCACTTTCTTATTGATGGCTGCTTCCATCTATTTCCACGACAAAAACCCCGATGCGGCTCTGCGTACTCTGCACCAAGGGGAGAGCTTGGAATGGTGAGTGTAGCTCGCCCTGGCATTGCGGAGGTGCGCTAGCAAAGCCAGGAGACTCTGAAAGAAGAGAGACTTCTCTGGGGGGAGGTACCGTAGAAACGGTTACGGTCTGGCTTCTCTTGAAAGAGTCTTGAAACCATCGAGAAAGTGCTTTGAGGTTTCCCTTCTAAGTAGTAATTTGGTGCTTGTCCCACAAGATCAGGTCTGTTGCTCCCTTGTGAAACTTAAGAAGCTGATTTATTGATCTGTGTGTGTTCAGAATCGCTGAAGTGAGCGTTTGTCAGTCCAGCGAGGGAGCACTGGGAGCTAGGAGCCAGCTTCCCCGCTCTGGGTCCTGCTCTGAGGCTCCCAAACGGAGCAGAAAAGGCTGCAGGTGTGGAAAACACTTTGTTCTTGTTTGTTGCAGCACAGCCATGATGATACAGATTCTTCTGAAGCTGGACAGGCTTGACCTGGCTCGGTAAGTCAGTCTGTGTCCTTTGCTTCTTCATGGTGCAGTGGAGCAAAGAACTGGTGTGTAGGTATGGGCGTGGTGCAAAAGGTTTTTATTCTTGATGCTGCACAAGCTGCGGAGATAGCGGAGCTGGATACAGCAGAAGGGAGAGATGGACCTCTGGGTTTAGTCTCACCTTCAGCAGAGCCTGGTTTGAATCTCTAGTCCTGGGTTTCTAACTTCCACACAGGGAAGTCTTTCATGGATTGTTTCAGTAGCGTATTGAGAGCGGTTTGTGCCACGTTACCGGCTTGCTGTGGCCCTTGTGCTGTAGCGATAGAAGAGCTGAGAGAAGAAACTACAGCTTTATGTTTGTTTCTTAAAGAAGTTGCCGTGTCTTTCTGTTGTGTGACTCCTGCTTTTGCTTCTGCAGCAAGGAACTTAAGAAAATGCAGGAGCAAGACGAGGATGCGACTCTTACTCAGCTGGCGACTGCCTGGGTGAACCTGGCCGTAGTGAGTATCTGAAAGGAGGATCCCTAGCCTGCAGGCTCCGAGGAACACCGCTCCCTATCTGGTGCCTGATTGCTCCTTCAACATCACGCCTGCAGAAAAGCATGCAGGGGTTTTGTTGGTTTTGGGGGTTTTTTTTCCCCTTCCTTCAAGTACACAGAAAATACTGGTAGCTGGTGTCACAAACCGGCTGTTTTGATTGTTGGTGTTTCATCTGTGCTCCCTAGCCTTCAGCTCAGGGAAGAGCTAAACCATCCTTAAATAATTCATAAAACATTATAATATAAAATGGGAAGCTGCAGTGTTACTAGCATCCAGACCTTGCAGTTAAACTCCAAGAACAAAATGTAATTCTCTGCTTAGGGTAGGCTGTTGTAAGTGTGTTTATGAATTGGACAAAACCATACGCTGTTTGTCAGTCCACATCATCAGGTGTTTGAAAATAAGTAGTCTCCTAAAATTCAGTGAAGTCCAAGGTTATGCATGCAATAACCTGTTGTACAATTAAGACTTCTTTTTTTTTTTTCCACTTGGTTTTGTTATGAAATCTCTCGTATGTAGCCCTTGCCTTACAGTAGCATGTGGCTGCATTTTCCTTAAAATCCGAGCTTCCACAAGGGATCCCACCTCTAAGTGGTAGAAGCTGCTGCATGTAGAACCTTTCTGAAGCTGGAACTTTTTGAAAAGCCAGGTGTCTCTACCTGCATTTAATTATAAAGTTCTCATTTCATAATCCTTGATTATGTCAGACATCTGAAGTGGTCCTTTTGAAGTGTTTTTTTCTTTTTGAATGGAAGCCTGGATCTTTTGATCATTTAAATGGTTTTTTTAATATTCAATTTTTTTGCATTTCTTTCATCTCTGCTCTGGCAGTGATCTCTTGTGCTGCAGGAGGTCACATGAATGCCAGCAGCTGTTGGCATAGGTTCTTATGCGTTTCATATCCGTGCTTTATAACCCTCCAGATGAACTTTGTGCCTTGTCCTTTAACCACGGCAAGAACGCACGGGCTTCTTAGCAACATGTAATGAGACCGTGGGTGTTTGTCTCCTCCCCTTGCAGGGTGGCGAGAAATTACAAGACGCCTACTACATCTTCCAAGAGATGGCAGACAAGTGCTCCTCCACCCTCCTCCTCCTCAACGGCCAGGCAGCCTGCTACATGGCTCAGGGCAAGTGGGACGATGCAGAGGGAGTGCTCCAGGAGGCGCTGGACAAGGTACTTTCTGGTTTTTCTGCCAGATTTGCTCTCCTGGGGGTGTAAAGGAAAGCAGCAAGGACTTTCACTGTTAAACTTAATGAAAATACCGAGATATTGATGTATCAGAGCGGTCGCTGTTACGACCTGCCTTTTCTTCTGCCCTGCCATTTGCAGGCAAGCGAGCTGTGGGTTTGCGGAACTGTCCTGGCAGTTGGTCACGGCAGAGGTAAGTCAGATTGAGTGATTGTTCTTGTTTTCAGGACAGCGGCCACCCTGAGACCCTGATCAACTTTGTTGTCCTGTCGCAGCACTTGGGCAAACCGCCAGAGGTAAGGCTTCTGCTGTTGCACTCAGCAAGCAGACGCGACCGACCTGTTCCTGCTGCTGGGGGCAGGTTGGGTGTTCCTGCTGTGCGTGGAAACTTTGCTCGGGTTTTGCAGGTTTTTTCTCATCAGGATGAACATTAAGAGAATAGAGTAGTTCTGGGGTGCAGGGAGTTTGCATCTTCATTATTCAGTAAAGTGTTTGTGGAAATACAGATGGTGTAGACGATGGTATATCCTTGAGAGGAAGGCCTGAGCAGAAAAAGAAATCTCTTGAGTTCTCAGTTCAGTTCTCACTGATTGTTTTCTTGAACCTGCTATTTAAGGTCCAAATTTTAAATACAGAGTGTGCACAGGTCTTACTGGTTTTAATCGGGGCTGCTAACATTCACTGCGAAAACATGAAGTGTGATTTTTAAACTCTTGGCTTCTCGCGTTAGCTCAATGTTTAATTTATCTACCTCATCCCGCCAGGTTACGAATCGCTATTTGTCACAGTTGAAGGATGCGCATAAAAATCATCCATTCATCAAGGAGTATCAGGCAAAGGTACTAATTACTCTCTAATATAAAATGGAATGTATCACCCCTCATACCAGCATCTGATGGGGCGAGGGGGTTCTTTACCAGTAAGCGTGACTGCAGGTCACGCAGCCGAACCTGGTAACGTCTTGAAAGAACAACTCTGAGATTCAGGTTCTTATCCGAGTCGGAAGTTTGTTACCATCAGATGTTACGCTTAGATAGAGGAAACGTCCTTCTGAAAGAGAGAATTGGGGGGTGGGGAGGGGAAGGAAGGATAAAGGTAATAGCAAAGGGAAAACAGAACAAAAATTAAGTGATATAGGTGTTCTTGCTTCTTAGAATTCATTTTCTCTCAGTGAGCTGTGACAGTAGTGTTCTCTCCAGCTAATGCAGGTTTTGTTACGTTATCAGTAAAGTTCAAGATTTGTTCATTTTATTTTTGTTTCTGATTTGAAGGAGAATGACTTTGACCGGCTAGCCATGCAGTATGCCCCCAGCGCCTGAGGAGAGGGGAACCAGGCTGCGGACCTGCTCTGGGGTACCTTGGGAACAGGGGTTGATGGCAAAACCTCTCTGGGAACATGGGAAAATGCCCTCTGGAAGTCAGCCTGGCTTAACCCCCTGCAGCAGGGTCCTGCAGCCCAGCAAGCCAGCGCTGAACCTGTACATAATGTGGAGCTGCCTGAGTTTGGTAGCTGAAAAGCCTGTGTTCTGGCTCAGCCGGGCCCTGAGCTCTGTTTAAAATACAGTGTGAACCAAGAGTGTGCAACACTGTACCTTAAACATTCCTAATAAAGCCTTGTCTGGATCCGTGTGCCCCTTAATTCCTGGAATTTGAGTAACTCCACTCTTGGACTGAGCCCTGTCCTCTGTACCGAGGGTACTCGAGGGGAAGAGTGAGAATGTTAATTTAAGCCCCTGCCTTCGGTACCTGGATGAGTCCTGAGCTGTGGATCTTCTTCCAGTCTGCCTGATGCCTCCTCTGTTAACTCAGCAGCCTCGGGAAGAAGCACAGGCAGCTGCAGGGGTTACTGGTGGTGAGAGGGAAAGCTTCCCCAGAATAAAAATAATCCCGCTGTAATAGGCTCAGCCTTAAATTAGTAAAATGCGGAGGTTCATGACCTGGAGCTGGGAAACAAGTACCTGCTGCAGGAGGGGTGGAAGCACACTTGTCACTGGTCACTTCTGAAGCCGTGGTGGTTGGACCTGGCGTGTTGTGGAACGTGACGTGATCCGATGCTTCGTGATTGTGCTTTTCTGTAGCCTCCCCTCCTGGCTGGCATTTCCGCGTGACGCCTGCGCTGGGCGCCTGCTCTCGCAGAGATGCAAAGAGCAGATGTCCAACCCCCTGAACTCTAATATTTGAATTATCTTCTGGGTTGTGTTTGGGGAGGGGGAGAAGGCAGGTTTATCCGACGCTGTAAATGTGTCTAACGGCGTTTCCTTTGTGCCCCCCTCGCCGATCGCTCTGAAAGGGCTCATTGTCTCTCTCCTTGGCTTGTTCAGCGAGCAGCTATTTGCAATGAGGGGTTATTCATGGTCCGGTCCTGAATGAATGTTTCCTTTGTGGAGCTGTCGGAGGGAGATGTGAAAGGGGCTTGTGTGTGCTGGGGGCAGCCATTCCCCACTTGATGGGCCATGATAAATTGACTTAAAAATGTAAACAATAAAAGCAAGTGGCATAGCAAGGAGCCAGCGCTGTCAGCGTGAGAAGAGGGGAACATGTTGTCCGGAGCTGCGGGAGGAAGGAGTTTGTGTTTTCCCATCGCTGCCCCACACCAATTAGAAGAGAACCTGGAGGCAGAACGGCTGCAGTCAGGGGAATGACTTTAACAAACATAAAACTCAGAGATGTTTTGTCTTTTTCTTTCCTGATCGAGCTGGTTCAAGTTCCAGCTCCATGAGTGCCTGTGATGCTGAGGATTAGTCTCCATCTCCAGCAGGAAGGATCCCCCAGCTGCAATTTAGCTGCTGGGTGGGTGCATTAGAGCACAACTGAACTGCATTTACGGTGAAACCAAACACCCCCCGTCCTGCCCCGGTGCCTCTGGGCTGGGGGTCCTGGGGGGCTTTACCGTGAGACAGTTGGAGTGCTGGCGTTTGAGGAGAAGCTTCATCTTAACCTCACGCTTCTCAGAGCGAGCCAGATGTCTGCCTGTCTGTCCGTGACTCTGGATGTGTCCGTTTGAATTTTGAACATGCACATCACTACATTTCTGTACAGATCAGCAGCGAGCTGGAGTGCCAGCTGCCTGCCTTCAGGCGGGGGCATTCGGTGGCTGATGGGGGTGACCTTTTGGCAGTGTGTGTTCGCGTTTTCCGGGTGCATCTCATTACTCCAGAGCCTTCCAAACTGCCACAGGCGACAAGTTCAGCTGTGGTGGTCGGGAGGAAACACCTGACTGCTCTCTACTGTGAGGAAGGGAGGAACCTGCTGCTGCTTGGAGGCTTTTGCTGAGAGGTATGGAAAAAAAATCTGGAAAAAGGGTTCTCTTTGCATATCAAGTAAAAAAAAAACATTAAAGGGTGAATGTTTAGTTGGGCATTTTCAACATGGAGAGGCTCTGTGGTGTTGGACAAGGTTCCCAAAGTGCTGTGGGTGACTTCCAGCCCCCACGGCCCCCCAGAGCGTGCCCCTCGGCAGGCACAGCGGTTTGCCACCGTTCCATCACCAGTTGTCATCTCTCCATACGGAAATCTGGGGATTTCTCGGCGCTTCTCGCTACAGGAGCGACTCCAGCCCATTGTCGCAGCATCGTCCCCAAGAGCAGCC